AGACATACAAATGGACAATGGTGTGTGAAAAGATGCTCAGCATCACTCGTATCAGGGAAGTGTGCATCAAAACTGCAGTGAGATGTCACCTCCCACCTATTAGGATGGCTCTTATCAAGAAGACAAAGATGAGTGTTGGCAAGGCTGTGGAAAAACTGGAACCTTTATACAGTGTTGGTGGAAATGCTTCTTTTACTTAGTATAATCATTTTGAGATTAGTCTTTCAACAGCAATTCAATTAACAATCCAATTGGGTGGGGGGAGGAATTTCACTTGAATCAAACTGAGGATTACAACGTGGGAAACAGACTCTCTTAAAGCTTTGAGAACTCTTCCGCCAGTTAGTAGCTGAAAGCAGTCGTACATTTTCGAGACAAAGTTTCATACAGCAAAATGACACCGTGATGTTTACATTAACTTCACCAAAGGCACACAGTCCAGGTGAGCACATACAAAGCGAGCAGTGAGTCACTGGACCTCTTACAGAGTTGGGAAAGAACTCTATTCTTTTAAGAAGTTACAGTGCTAGCGTCAGAAGAAAGGAGGAAAAAATAATCTTTACGGTGGAGCAAGTGCTCTCACCTTTTTTTTAAATAGTTAACAATTGTCTTTAATATTAGAATTGGAAGAAATAGTAAACCCACCCACTGGTTTTCTGTATGAAATACAATATTTCCCCTTATTAAGGGGAAATATGAGTCCTCTTAAAAGTTTAACAAGAAAGGATGCGCATTGTATGACTTTTTGTTTTTTGTTTTTTTAACACGTTTATGGTTATGGTTGTATGATTCCTGTACAGTAAACTACACATATTTCAAATGTTCAATTTGATGAATTTTGATAGATGTATACACCAATGAAACCACCACCACAATCAAGGTGGCTAACATTTTCATCGCTCCCCAAGAGGTGCAATTTTCAAATTCCCAGTTTATCCCTTCCCACCCCCTTTACCCCTGGTAACCATAAGTTTGTTCTTTATGTCTGTGAGGTGCTCCCATCTTGGACGCACTCTGGTTAATGTGAAATGCAGGTGCACACTGCACATTAGGGAGGGAGGGAGGAGGCCCAAACAGACACAGAGAATTTTATGTTTAATTTGTTTTTTCCTGCCTTCAAACATAAAATTTTATTTCGTCACATTCATGTAGTTCATTTCTTTGTATAGTGTAATATACCACAATTTGTCCATCCTCTCACCCATTGACAGATGTTTGGGTGGTTTCTAGTTTAAGGTTATTTTGAATTAAGCTGCTGTGAATATTCTTGTGCAAGTCTTCATGGATATATGCTTTCATTTCTCTTGGGTAAGCACCTAGAACTGGAATTTTGGGTCATGGGGTAGGTGCATCTTTGACTTTATAATAAACTGCCAAACAGTTTTCTAAAATGTTTGTGTAATGATACATCCCACTAGCAAAGAATGAGCATTCTAATTGCTCAGAATGCTTGTTAGCCTGTAATGTTACCAATCTTTTTAATTTTAGCCATTCTGTTAGGTATGTAATGGTATCTCAGTGTGATTTTAGCTTTCAGTTCCCTGATTTTGAGCATCTTTTTATGTGATTGTTGGCCATTAGGTCTTCCCTTTATAAAGTATCTGTTCAAAACTTATGTCCATTAAAGAATAATTTTTTTAATATTGAGTTGTAGGAGTTCTTTAAGTATTCTGAATATGTCCTATTCAGATATATGTATCAAGATTATTTTTCCCAGTCTGTTTTGCTTATATATTTTGTTAAATTGTCTTTTAATGAACATAAATTTTAAATTTTGAATTTCATCAATTTTTAAAAATTGTATATTCTTTATCACTTACAGACCCTCTGCAGGCCTCATAGAGTGTACCACATCCTATGTACTCCAAGCCAGCAGAACATAAAAAGTTCAGTGATATTTTTTTTTTAGCTCTATCTGAATGGCAATGTTTTAGTTGTGTTCTTGACTTTGTTACAGAGCCTTCATCCAGAACAGTGGTTTAAAATTTACTGAGCAGATTTCTGCCCCCTCCCCTACCTGCCTTCAAACTGTTAAAAATAGGGTTGCTGAGCTCCACTCCGACTGAATGATTTTGTTTCACAGTTCTGCTGGCGTGTCGGGAAATCACTGATCTAGCTGTCCTAAATGCTTGACCGAACTTAAGGCTACTCTACCTACCACTTCCTCAAACAGAGGACAGGACACTGTTAATGGAAAAAACCTGTTGCATTTTCATTTCCGCGTGCTGTTACCACCAGTCCCTTTCACAGTCCTTGGAAGCAGTTAATTAGAAAGCACTGGGGGGAAAGTGCAGGAGAACTTTACCAGATTCTGTTGTAATAAGGCATAACCGAATAAAATATTTCAGAACAGGAATCAGTTGCATGGTCTGAGTGCTTTCCAACTGCTGGCTCTTGCTTTTCTTTTGCAAGAGAAAATTGCAACAAGTCTTCACAGGAAGTTTTTTGTTGCTCCATTTTTATTTCTCTTTCAGAAGGAAAAAAAGTTGGTTCTCCTAATGGTTTTGATAATAGACCCTCACTTGGTTGGCAATAAAACATGAAACTTCTCATTGGGTATTTTCAAGACTGCCACGAGGAATCAGCTGCCAGTTTACTGCAATGTGGAAAACTGCACGAGAGTCTGGGATTGGACTCAAAATGCTAATTTCAAAGGTCGAGTGAAGCTGCGGCTCACGTTTTCGCTTGCCGGCGCTCTCTGCAGGCAGAACAAAGACTCAGCCCGCGAAGGCGGAGGCTGAGACCCATCTCAAATCTGCTTTTCTGAGATAATTTTGGAATCATGCCTGAAATGCCGGAGAACATGGAACAGGTAAGAGCTAGCTATTCAAGAAAAGAAGCATTCTGGAGTTAGAGTTTCTTTAAAAGCATTCCAATGAACCTCTGGAAAAAACCGAAAGGGTGTGTTAAAAAGAATATAAATGGGTGTCATTCATTTCTTTAAAACATACTACTTTGGGACTTGGAAGAATAAAGCAACTTTAATTATTGACCCTTTACGGATAGCTCAGCTAAGTCTCATTTGACCAAAAAAGAAAAAAAAAAGCAAAACAGAACAGCAGTTTCATTTATCAGATTAAATGTAGGGGACGGTTCTATTTAAATAACGATTTTATCTGTAGTTGTGTTCTCCAGCCTTTCGTTGTCTTGGCATGAACTGAATCTGCTAAGCGAACTTTTAGCTCCAGATTGCTCTCTTTAAATTTATATAATTAGCCACCACATGAACTTGGATATTGGCTGTATAGCAATGGCGTTTTTATTCACAGAGAAACTTTGATTTTCAAAAAGAATGATTAAAAACTATACATGAACATATGCCCCTAGAACCATACCCAAGTTTTACCTTGCAAGTATCAAACCAGATTCTCAAATGTAGACAAGTAAACTCTTTTTGTTCCTCACTTCAGATAAGGCTGATCTGAGAATCAAAATGCTAATTGCATATGCATGTCCTTAAATCATCTTCACGTTGAGCACTTAATTTTTTTTCCTGGTCAGATTAGATTGCATCACCTGTTGCAACTGGAAACTTTACAAAAATTCCCAGTTTTTAAGGGGGGGGGGTGGTCAAGAGGATCTTGAATCCACCTCCCCCACTATTTACCCACACCTTTTCTTTGTAGTTGGCAGATTATGCACGGTTAGCCTTGGGGCATTCCTCTCGAGGACTCTAAATAATGCTAAATTGATTAGCAGCCTGGATCAAAACAAAAATTGAAAAGTAAGGGGCCTGAAGCTCTCTTCTGTTACTGTTCCAAAGAAACTATGCTTAACGCAAATAAGATGAGTTATTGTTGGGGGTTGGGTAGGAAGGAAAGTCATGGGACTCAGACGTGGAAAAACTTTTTGAAAGCTTGGTCTTTAGCTCTAAGATTAAACCAGAAAAGATTTATGAAAATAATTTTCAAAAAGATCCAAGCAGTAATGACTTTTGTGGACGACTTTTAAGGTCTTGGTGTATCCTGTGTGTTTGGACAAGAACACTCAAACTGTTCGGTGTAAAGTTGACGAACCCTACGCAGTCCATGCGCGGGTTTTTTCCCGAGTAAATTTCACAGGCATCCCGGTGGGCGGGGTATTTTTTTCGGTTTTGAACTCGAAGAGAAATCAGTTGCATGCTTGGTCAGCCTCAGTGCCTAGGGCTTTATCACTTTACAAAAGCGCGATACATATGGTGGAAGGTCCGGCGTTACTCTCTTCCCCTGGTTCCCTTAACTTTCGGTGGTAGCGGAGACTCGGCTCCTGTAGCCCAGCGTTGCAGCCTGTAAGGCTGTGCTTCTCAAAGGGTGGTCTTGTTTCCTGTTAAATTTTCTAAAATGCAGAGTCCCAGACTTGACTACCACAGCTCATTCAGCAGTTATTGGTGAAGTCCGAGAATCCGCGTTTCAAAGAGGCACCCAAATAATTCATCCCCCAGTCCCCCTACCCCTTTTTATTTTTAACTAGTTAAAAATAGTTTGACATCTTTGGAATTTCACACGTACTACTTTCTAGCATCTCAGAAAGACAAATGGGTTGTCGAGGTGTTAATGACTCAGAATGCCAACACTTTAATTTTTATTCCAGTCTCTTTCTAAATCTCTCAAAAAGCACTCAGAGCTCTAGAAATAATGTCCATTGTGCCTCCACCCCCTCGCCTCACCCCTCCCACCATGACTTTAAAATGCTTTCTCTCACTTTACGTATTACATGCCCAGTTGATTCTTAATGCATTGCGCACAGTCTATACACTTCAAAGTCCAGGCAATCCAGTTCAATGCTTACCTAGTCGAGAAGAAAAAACACAAAATAAACAACCCCCCGGCCCCCAAACAAAACTCGCATTCCCTTGCTTAAGGCCAGGGCCTTTGTGTTGTGTATCCCTTTAAGATTTGGCGCGTGGGCTGGGAGCGCCCGGAGCGCGCCCGCCCCCTTTCTGGGGCGTCGGCGGCGCGTGGCCAATCAGGGGTGCGGCCTTGGCAGCGGAAGCCGGAAGCGGTGAGCGGGGGCCGGTCCGGACCTAGGGGAGGCGGGCCGAGGGTGTCGGAGCTGCGGCCCGCGGTGATCCTGGGCTGGAGGAAGCGGCGGTCGCTGCGGCGGCGGCGCGAAGACGGCGGGCATGGTGGGGCGGGAGAAGGAGCTCTCTATACACTTTGTTCCCGGGAACTGCCGGTTGGTGGAGGTGAGGGACTCGGCCCGGGGTGAGGTGGGGTGGGATTGGTGGGGGGGATTGCGTCTTGAGAGAACCGATTGCGCGGAGGGGGAAGAGTCTGGTCGCGGGGGCTCCAGTGCTTTTCCAGACGCATCCTGCTCGCGTCGGAGGCCCCTGGAGGCGAGGGCGTCGCCGCCGAGTTTGTTTACCTCGGTGCACAGCCTTCTGTGCTTTCTTTTCCAGCCGCTGCGACAGGAAATGAGTCGGTCGGGTTTCATTTTCGAGTCTCCAGTCTCGCCTCCCAAGAACGAAGAGGGTTTTTCAGAACTGTTTCAGTTTTGATGCTTTATTAATTTATTTTTCATCCTTTGTTCGAATACCTCAATCGCAAGAGTTCGTATCTCTGGGAAAGAAGGGGCCAGGTGGCTCTTCAGAAATAACAGGGCTGGAGTTGAAAACTTATCGAACTCTTAGTTTATACGCGGGACTATGTTAAGCGCTTTACGTGCATTATTTACGTTAATCCTCATAACTGTGGGATAGTGTTTTTGCTTCACTTTGCAGATAAGAAAATTGAAGTTTAGAGGGCGAGTGCTTGGCCCAAGTTGATTCAGTAAGGTTGCAGCCGGAATTCAGCTACGGGTCTATTGGACTGTCCCAGGCATTGAACCAGGTTGCATAAAGGAATGCTATTACTTGTTTTTCTAGAGCCCCAATTGTCTTCTCTATTTCATTCCAGGACCCCCAGCATTCATCAATCCACAGAATATATCTGGCCCTGGAAATAAGAACGTTAATGCCCAGGTCGATATGTCTTGTGGATAAAAGAGAGGATATAGGTGATGGCTATTTTTGATAATGCAAAATTTTTATGTCTCCAAAATGTAGCACATTTAGTGTTTTCAGATCACTTTGGGATTTGGGGGGTAAAGTTAGGCC